TGGTACAAAATACATACATAACAAGGTAAGAAAAAAGTACCGCTATCGTTTCTACCCGCCGAGGATGAGATGTACCCTGGTTCAGTAATTCCCCGCATAAGCTCCACACACATCTTTTTGTTAGAGAGATGAGGCGGGGAACGATGTATGATGAGCCGGCGAACGATCAGAGTATATCATCAGGGAAGAAAAACACCGGCTTGATTTACTTAGAAATACGCTATTACCGCGCGAGTTCCAAAACCTCTCACTTACAAAACGAGGCTAATGGGAAAACCTCTGCTGTGAAAATAAGTTTTATTTGAATGAGAATAATAATAAAAAAAAATTCATAGCAATGGCTTCGCACTTAGCCTCGCTTTGAAACAGAGGCTTGAGGCAACTCAGAAATGGCCTATTGACAATAACAGCGAAAGGTACTGAAAAAAAGCTAGAAAAACAAGAGGGTGATATGAAGCACATGCAGCGTGATGGTAGTATGATGGGAACGCTGGATACATTTATCTCTAAAAATGCCTAAATAACGTCACTCAACGGCCCGTTTACTCGGCCTAGATAGGTTCAGTCATCAGTAGCGCAAAACCGTTCATGGAGGACGATTTTAACATGAAGGAGAATAATCAATAATCGGCAATTTCTTTTTTGCTTCTCGATATTTATTTCAATGAAACTGACAAAACATTAGCCTTTCAGTAACTATCTATAAGTATTATTTATAAGAATAATTATGATAATATAATAACATGAAAAACGTAAAGGATCAGAGACTGTATGTGTGCACCTTTAAAAAGCTTTCCTTACCAACATAAAGAAGGGAAGCGAAATAGTAACAAACGAGGATTAGCATCATAATCAAAAGCTTCGACGCTAAGCGTAGTTCGAGTCCACTATCGACAAAACAAGTTATCAGTGACGAACGAGCGCTATTAGTTCACAATTTTTAGAAAGTCTGTAGTCTCTGTATGAAATCCTGCTTATTTAGTGGAATGCATTTGTTGAGCTTCTTGGTTTATTGCAAATTAAATCGTTAATTTATAGCAGTTGAGTTGCACCGGGAGTTATCGCTAGTGTTCTGTTGTCTACGTTGAAGGTATTTTATATATTAGCAAGACGTTTCTCTAGTAACAAGTGTGTCGAGCACCATACACAGCTCACTAAACTTGGGTCGTTCGCTGGGATTACCCTGCCAACATTTGGTCATCAATTCATAGCTGTTGAAAAAATAAATATGAGACACTATAGAGTACTAAAGTGATGACGTCATAAAAATGAAATTTCTGAAATTATGGGATTTGTCAGGATATTCTGAAAGAACAATGTCCCAGAGGCCTGCTTACCAAAAATGAGCATTTCGGGGCAAATTGTCTCTGAAATGTTAGCCGGTTATACACCGAAAACTCCATACAAACCCTTCTGTTTTTTTGGGTCGACCCCCAAAAAATTTAGAAGGTTTTGTATGGAGTTTTCTAAGCATAACTGGGCTACCATCTCAGAGAAAATTTGCCCCGAAATGCTGATTTTTGGCAAGTAGGCCTCTTGGACATGGTTCTTTCAGAATATCCTGACAAATCCCATAATTTCAGAAGTTTCATTTTTATGACGTCACACTTTAGTACTCTATACACTCAACCTTTTATACTAACAAGATGACTATTAAATGATTTGCGGTAGTAACTATATCTCTACTTGAAGTTAGCTGGGGCGGGTAATGATTCACTCGGTTACTGTTATTAGCGTAGCTTGAGTCTCCAAAAGACAAAACTTCTATTTGAAATTTGGAAATCACTGGTATCGCGGAAGCCTTTATAATTACGCAGCTCCTCCGAAAGGAAGATTAAATACTTTAAAGCTGAGAGTCCAAAAAGCAGTCAACTCTGAGTTGTTCTGACGTCTTCCGATTCTTAACCCTCAAGACCAAATACCTATAAACAAATTCTCCTGATGAGCTGCAGCACATTTCCTTAAAAAATTAGTTAAAAGAAATTGCTAAAAAAAATCAGTGAAAGCATTTTTCCTTTGGGGATCATTTTATTCTTTCTCAAAACCTTGTCTCTTGATGATGCACTGATGTTGTTAGGAGAAAATTGATGTTGGTCACTCTTATGACTTTAACACTGAAGTGCCCTTGATCAGAGTCAAGTGTGAGGTCACTTACATAGCATCGGAGCACCCATTGGGTTTCTCCATTCTGTAGCCGGACTTGAGGCTTTGTAAGAGATCTACTGTCTCAATCTCAGGATAAGGGACTGCTCCTAAAAGACAACAGTCAAGCAGTATCAAAATGCATGCACAGTTTTCCTAAAACTGATACGACTGATTTATATCGGATGAAAAATACGTTATCGGATGAAACACTTGTAATGCTTGGCTTACCGCCTGTCTCTATCTCCCACAGCAAAACGCCAAATGACCAGCTGAAACAAAACAAAAGATTGCGTATCTTGAAACAGACTTCAAGCAAAAGAAAATCAATATAAGTTTGTCACGTAGCTCACACACACTTCACCTTATCTTGCCGTCAGTTATCATTTTATTTAAAAAGTCCATTATTCACTGTTTCAGAGAGTGGTCAACGTGAGTGTCGAAATTAATTTTACATTTGCTCAGATTTTTTATTTCTGCGTTTTGTGATTGGCTGAACAATCTCGAATCATTTTCTTAACCAATCAGAAGCAACACCAAAACCTGTCCAAAACCGATCGTAGCTTTTGCTAACTCGCGTTTTCCCGCGCTTCAGTGACGCAGGCTACATGTAAAAGTTTCCCGCGCTCCTTTGAAACTAGTTACAGCTTCTAGGCGTGATTGGCTCGCTGAATTTTCTGCTGCCCGCCGGCATTGTGATTGGCCAGTTATCACATTGGCTTCCCCTTTGCGGAATTTGAATAAACAACTGAAAACTCTTAGCAATACGTGGCTTATTTCGACAAATTCTTCGCCCCATGTAAGGGAATCCAGGACAGTCTTGGATTCTGGATTCCATGCTGTGGATTCCGGATTCCGAGTACTGGATTCCGGATTCCAGCACAGTGGATTCCGGATTCCAGAAAGAGCTGGATTCCATTTTTTTTACGGTTTTAATGCTTTTCTTCGCACTTTGTTTCGTGTTCGAATCTTGCTATATTGAAAGACGTTTGCCTTTCCCGTTTAAGACGGGCGCTTTGCGTTAAGGGCAGCAAATTTGGGGGAGGGTCAAAAACCCTTTGGGGGGGGGGGGTTTTTTGGGGGGAAGGGAGAAAAAAAATTTTTTCCCCCCCCCCCCCCCCCCCTACCGCTTTAAACCCCGATGCCCGCCCCCTGGGTACATATGAAACCAAGATGGCCGTCCGTACCGGCGCTCGATCCTGACGATCTTACAAAAAAGTTGTGAACTGTGAACAGTCTAAGGAAGTAAAGGTGAGATCCTTTAGAATTTTTACTCTAATTTTCAAGTAGCCTGCGTAATCAGCCGTTTCTCCTGGCTCTTCGCCGCTGAGGACGTTTCGCGAGGAATAAAGGACGTTACTCCGCGCGAAACGTCCCCAGAGGCAAAGAGCGAAGAGAAACGGCTCTTTTCGAAGGCTAATTTTCAAGCCAAGGTTACATGGTTCTTATGGTTTCTTGCGTGCTTGATCCCTATCCTGATTGACCAAATCGCGCATGGCAGAACATGGTCACCAACTTTAAATCCTGCACCAATTGAATGTCTGTTATCTATGACCATTAACACTGATAACGTCACATGTACAAGGGATTTGGTAGCCTATGAGAAAGTCCCCGTTTCGAATGGCGAGTGAAGCGAGCTGGGAAAGAACGCGCGTTTCCCTTCGCGTGCCTCTCGCGCGTAAACAAAACGTCAATGGAATGCTTCTGTTGCAGGCCATCAGGCCAGGGATGTCGTTTCACACGGGTGGTTATGGAAAATTGTTCCGGCTACTTCCACATAAAACAGAATACAAAAGAGAACCCTTTTGAGACAAACCCTGAATTTACAATTAAACAAATTATTTATACTTACTTGTCCATTCTCCAAGCGATTTCTGGGTCTGAAAGGAAAACATTTCAATCCAAAAAACTGACATTTACAAACTTTTACATATTTATTACCAAAACCAATGCCTTACATTTTAGATTTGAGGGTGGACGTGGGGGTAGTCACTGGGATATTTGCATTTCCCACTTGAGTGACACTCGGGATGACACCCTCATTATTCCATTTCTTTCTTTCTCCTCATTTATTCCACCTTGGGAGTGTCCAGTGGAAGCCTTTTTTTCTCCTTCTCTACGTCAATTTTCTATACTCTTTGGGAGGACATTCAATCCACTTAAGGGTGGAGGCGACTGACAGTTTCGGGTAACAAGCTTGTGTTGTATCTTGAATTGGAAAAAGAACTCACTGTTTTGACTTATGACAATGATCTCTGTTGTGTGGGCTTTACATGAATATCTAATCCCATCAATTGGCTCTGTAATTTGCAAAAAGAAAATTGTTTCTCTAATTACCTACTATTCCAAGGGCTGTAGGTCTGTGGCCATACCCTCTGGGCATTCTTACTTCTGGCTCCTATAAAAAAAACCTCAAAAGGTCAATAGCCTATATTTGAGGTCACTTTAATTATTATGTAACACTGACTTGTCCTTTCAAATCACCTTTTACACTAAATTGTCAGGAAGGGGATGACTCCCATATACCAGCTGGGATTACTGAAACAAATTCGAGCGTGGCATGGGCTTACTTGGACCCCTAAAGGAGATCTTAGTCTCACATAGAGTAAAAAAGGGTTTGTTCTTTTTTTATATATATATAGTCGCACAATCCTAGGCCAGAGAGAATTAACTTGGATCATGATCTCTTGTCCTAAACAATACATTTATGGGCAAAAAGTGACACCAAAATCTGCACCTTCTGCTACTAAGCAAGACGATGAGCATCCCAGTGACTTTAAAATGGGAGTCCCCCAGCCCTATCAATAGATTAACTTTGGAATTTATCCAGCTGTATAAAAGATACTAACCTGCATCAGATCCTGAATTGTAGAGTCTACCAGGTACTGATTATAATAAGGCGACAGGCTGTTGAAGATATCTGGAGTATATGGCCTCCTGTTGGAGTCGAGAGACAGTGTTTTTGTTACAATTTGGGGAAGCTAACAGTGGAGTTATGGGTATAGCTAGCCTGCTAGGCCACTAGGCCAAGGCCTGAGGTAAACATGTTTCATACAAGTTGGAACCATGATTAGGAGCTGGTAGGGAAAATCTTGTAGGCTCCCTTTAAGAGGTTCATCCCTTGCTACTGCTTTTTTTTTGTCAACTGAAACGTCTGTTTGCTAGCTCTTAATGTACATGCTTATAAAAGGTACCATTGCAGCTGGTCATGTCGGTCAAAATTTTTGGACCTTTAAACTTGTTATGTATATTGAACAGTTCTCACTACAGTTAACATCTTGCTGTATAAATACTCATTTATGTATATTAACCTATAATTCCAACACCTTTGATCCTTCTTCTTTCAATGGAATGCTAGTCCAATTAAGGGGTGTATTAATTCATTTGTTAATTAATAGATACCCACCTAAAGCCTGTGTGGACAGGAAAATAATAGTTTCCTCTCAGCTGAAAGGGACCATATATGAGGGGGGCGTAAGGGGGTATGAATACTGCAAAACTGCACAGAAATATGTATAAACACTGCACAGAATAACATAAGAAAACCGCAAACCACATTGAAATTACCCAAAAATTTTAAAATACCGCAAACCATTCAGTATTGCAAAACCGCAATACTGCGACTTAAAATAAAAATTTCTGCAAAACTACACCAAAAATCTAGCAAAACTGCATCACTGCAAACCCTTACACCCCCTCATATATACATGTACATTGGCCAACTAATGTCAATGCAACTGAGCCTTAACTCCTGACAACTATACTTTACCTTTTTTTCATATTTATGTCACCACCCTTCCCCCCTACCACCACACCCTTTACCAGGTTTCTTCCCCAGCAGAGACCAGACAGTGGGAGATTGACTTACACAGGGGGTCTTTGTATGGACTGTTTGAATGCAGTCATCTGCCACTTCAGTCTGTATAATTCTGCTACCATTTGCTGTGTTTTCTTGTCAAGGTGTGTGGATGCCCTGGAGCTTGCAGCTTGAGATGTTAAAACGCCAATCATGGTGCATGCTCAAATCCTAGTACACAGGTGGAAGCCCAGAACAAGGATTTCGGTAGTTCCGTTCTGTTGCGTAGAGATTGCAGTTTTCAAAATGGCCCAGGTGATTCAATCTGGTTCAGAAACTCCATTTTAAAAGTTTGTCACGCTATTTTATTGTCACTTTCTCTTGGCCTTCGTTTATAACGGAAAAGGGGAGCAAATTACATTTTCCTAAGTTTCCTCACGCGCAAAGGGCAAAATATCGAAAGAGGTAAGCTTGACCTTTATACTTTTTTTTCGCCTTCGTTTGTTTGTTTTTCGCTTTTCTAGTTGCCTCGTTTTATTATTATTATTATTATTATTATTATTATTATTATTATTATTATTATTATTCCTTTTTTATTGGGTTCTGAACGCTGAGGAAGTAATAGACTGTTCACAGCTCCCTATTTTTCCGTAAGATCGTCGAGATCGAGCGCTTTGCGTTAAGGGCAGCAATCTTGAATGAGTGTCAAAACCACTTAGGGGGCGGGGGGTTGTTTGGGAGGAAGCGAGAGAAATAATTTTCTCGCCTCCCTCCCCCTACCGCTTTAAACCCCGATGCCCGCCCCCTGGGTACATATGAAACCAAGTTGGCCGTCCGTACCGGCGCTCGATCCTGACGATCTTACGAAAAAGTTGTGAACTGTGAACAGTCTAAGGAAGTAATGGTGAGATCCTTTAGAATTTTTACTCTAATTTTCAAGTAGCCTGCGAAATCAGCCGTTTCTCCTGGCTCTTCGCCGCTGAGGACGTTTCGCGAGGAATAAAGGACGTTCCTCCGCGCGAAACGTCCCCAGAGGCAAAGAGCGAGGAGAAACGGCTCTTTTCGCAGGCTAATTTTCAAGCCAAGGTTACACGGTTCTTATGGTTTCTTACGCGCTTGATCCCTATCTTGATTGACCAAATCGCGCATGGCAGAACATGGTCACCAACTTTAAATCCTGCACTAATTGAGTGTCTGTTATCTATGACCACTAACACTGATGACGTCACATGTACAAGGGATTTGGTAGCCTATGAGAAAGCTCTCCGTTTCGAATAGGGAGTGAAACGAGCCGGGAAAGAACGCGCGTTTCCTTTCGCGTGCCTCTCGCGCGTAAACCCAAACGTCGATGGAAAGCTTCTGTTGCAAGGCCATCAGGCCAGGGATGTCGTTTCACACGGGCGGTTATGGAAAATTGTTCCAGCTACTTCCACATAAATCAGGATATTAACGAGAACCCTTTTGAGGCAAACCCTGAATTTACCATTAAACAAACTATTACTTACTTGTCCATTCTCCAAGCGATTTCTGGGTCTGAAAGGAAAACATTTCAGTTCAAAAAACTGACATTTACAAACTTTTACATATTTATTACCAAAACCAATGCCTTACATTTTAGATTTGAGGGTGGAGGTGGGGGTAGTCCCTGGGATATTCACATTTCCCACTTTAATGACACTCAGAATGACACCCTCATTATTCCATTTTCTTTCTCTTCTCCTCATTCATTCCACCTTGGGAGTATCCATTGGAAGCCTTTTTTTCTCCTTTATCAAGTCAATTTTCTATACTCTTGGGGACGACATTCAATCCACTTAAGGGTGGAGGGGACTGACAGTTTGGGGTAACAGGCTTGTGTTGTATCTTGAATTGGAAAAAGAACTCACTGTTTTGATTTATGACAATGATCTTTGTTGTGTTGACAATGATCTCTGTTTTGTTGTTTTTATCTATCTTAGTCATAATGTCTTTTTAGAAATTATCTATTATATTTTATCCTAAATTATCTTTGAAAATGGTATATTTTATAGTTTTTAGTTGTAGAATCTATACTTGTAATTTGTTTTGAGGGCCACAGAGTTATCAGTGTCTTAGCACTACTGTTAAGTGTTTTACCCTCTTTAAAGAAAGCCTATTATTATTATTATTATTATTATTATTATTATTATTATTATTATTATTATTATTATTGTGTGGGCTTTACAACAACATCAACATCAACATCTAATCCAATCAATTGCCTGGGAGTGTAATTCGCAAAAAGGAAATTGTTTCTCTAATTACCCACTATTCCAAGGGCTGTAGGTCTGTGGCCATACCCTCTGGGCATTCTTACTTCTGGCTCCTATAAAAAACCCTTAAAATGTCAATAGGCTATATTTGAGGTCACTTTAATAATTATTATATAACATTGACTTGTCCTTCTAAATCACCTTTTACACTAAAGTTTCGGGAAGGGGATGACTCCCATATACTAGCTGAGATTACTGAAACAAATCTGGGCATGGCATGGGCTTACTTAGACCCCTAAAGGAAACCGTAGTCTCACAGAGTTAAAAAGGGTTTGTTCTTTTTTTATATATATTAAAGTCGCACAATCCTAAGCCAGAGAGAAATAACTCAGATTATGCTCTCTTGCCCTAAACAATACATTTATCAGCAAAAAATGACACCAAATCTGCACCTTCTACTACTAAGCAAGATGATGAGAATCCTGGTGACTTTAAAAATTATGGCAGTCCCCCAGCCCTATTAATGGATTAGCTTTGGAATCTATGCAGCCTTATAAAAAATACTAACCTGCATCAGATCCTGAATTGTAGAGTCTACCAGGTACTGATTATAATAAGGTGACAGGCTGTTGAAGATATCTGGAGTATATGGCCTCCTGTTGGAGTCGAGAGACAGTATTAATATTTTTGTTACAATTTGGGGGAGCTAACACTGGAGTTATGGGTAGCTAGGCCGCTAGGCCAAGGCTTTAGGTAAATATGTTTCATACAAGTTGGAACCATGTTTAGTTATGAATACTGCAAAACCACACAGAAACACTTATAAACACAGCACAGGATAACATAAGAAACCCGCAAACCGCATTGAAATTACCCGAAAATTTCAAAATACTGCAAAACACTTGGTATTGTAAAACCGCAATACTGCAACTTAAAATAAAAATTTTCGCAAAACTGCACCAAAAATCTAGCAAAACCGCATCACTGCAAACCCTTACACCCCCTCATATATACATGTACATTGGCCAACTAATGTCAATGCTACTGAACCTTAACTCCTGACAACTACTTTACCTTTTTTTCATAATTCATGTCACCACCCTTCCCCCTACCACCACACCCTTTACCAGGTTTCTTCCCCTGCAGGGACCAGACAGTGGAAGATTCACTTACACAGGGGGTCTTTGTATGGACTGTTTGAATGCAGTCATCTGCCACTTCAGTCTGTATAATTCTGCTACCATTTGCTGTGTTTTCTTGTCAAGGTGTGTGGATGCCCTGGAGCTTGCAGCTTGAGAGCTGGTTCCCTTTCTNTATGGCCTCCTGTTGGAGTCGAGAGACAGTATTAATATTTTTGTTACAATTTGGGGGAGCTAACACTGGAGTTATGGGTAGCTAGGCCGCTAGGCCAAGGCTTTAGGTAAATATGTTTCATACAAGTTGGAACCATGTTTAGTTATGAATACTGCAAAACCACACAGAAACACTTATAAACACAGCACAGGATAACATAAGAAACCCGCAAACCGCATTGAAATTACCCGAAAATTTCAAAATACTGCAAAACACTTGGTATTGTAAAACCGCAATACTGCAACTTAAAATAAAAATTTTCGCAAAACTGCACCAAAAATCTAGCAAAACCGCATCACTGCAAACCCTTACACCCCCTCATATATACATGTACATTGGCCAACTAATGTCAATGCTACTGAACCTTAACTCCTGACAACTACTTTACCTTTTTTTCATAATTCATGTCACCACCCTTCCCCCTACCACCACACCCTTTACCAGGTTTCTTCCCCTGCAGGGACCAGACAGTGGAAGATTCACTTACACAGGGGGTCTTTGTATGGACTGTTTGAATGCAGTCATCTGCCACTTCAGTCTGTATAATTCTGCTACCATTTGCTGTGTTTTCTTGTCAAGGTGTGTGGATGCCCTGGAGCTTGCAGCTTGAGAGCTGGTTCCCTTTCTTTTCTTTTGTGAAATTTTTGGACTGCTCTCTTTATCTCCTGTGATTTGCAAGATCCCAGAAAATGTGCAATAAAGAAGTTAAAAAATGCAATATCCAGCATTCTGAATATAAAAAAGAGTTCTGTTTTTAATGACAATTTTTATTGACTAAGCTTTTTTTATTGAGCTACATTAATTGTATGTCTTACTTGTTTAGATGCAGCAAAGTGGACTTTTCTGAAGCTACTGATGAATAATCAGTAGGTTACCTCTTGAAGTAAACTGTAATACAAAATCTATGCAGTGCAATCACACTATCAAATATGATTTTTCTATTTTTTCTATATTTTGAGATTGCGGTACTTAATACCTGTTTATAATTTTCAGCCCACAAATCCACTGTACAATACTCCAGTAAACGTCACTTCCGGTCACGAAACATCAATTATTGAAAGAGACGAGCCAATGAAGATTTAAAGATGCCTCTTATAATAAATATTTCTCTGAGTTTCAGTAAACAATTGACTCAACTTATTTTCAAAGATAGCATAAATTTTACTCTTCGCCACTTTTGATTAATTGCTAAAATCTGCAAAAGAAGGAAATGGCGTGTGTCTGTGAGTTTGATCCCCGCGGTTTACCACCACCGAGCAAATTAACACAATGGCGCCTAGCACAATTAGCGTGATGTATATAACACTCTCAAGCTTAAATATCTATACAGGGAGATCATTTTGAGGGAATATTTTGAGTAACTCGGAAGAATTTGAGATAATCTTCAAAATAAAAGCGAACTCTGCCATCAAAATAGGATTGGAAACAATCTGTCGGACAAAGCGTGATCATAAGTTTAAAGGCTTAAACTGAACGCAAGTGCATCTTACCAGATGGCGCATCATGCCGAAATCCTTCTCGTTGCATTCCAGGTTCTTTGTCGTTGACTTTTTCGTCTTTATCCTGGTCTTGCGTTTTAGTATCTTTGCTATTTCTCATCTTTTCAAGGTAAGAAACAATACGATGGATGATTACAGTGTAAAGTCAAATAGTTAGAAAGCTGCCTAAATAATACCGTAAGCTCATAAGCAATTAACTTTCTTTGAACATCAAAGTCTCAAAGGATTCACGATTTGATGTTGTCAATTACGTCTTTTCTTACCTCTACATCGCTCATTCTTCCGGAACGCGAGAAAGACACGCTCCTAATGACGAAAATGTAATGTTTTCGATTCCAAAATAATACAACCTTCGAGTATCATGCAGCAATTAGTTCTCGAGTTCGTTTCTATGGAAATGAGCCGGCACGCTTAAGGTGTCGAATTACTTTGATTGACACTATTATTATTTGGTAAATATTTTAATAAAATATTGATGAAGAGCAAAACGAGGAACTAAGGAGACAAAACATTATTACTTCTGATGATCAAACTGAAAGCAACCGAATAAAAGTTCATTCCCTCAAGGGTCAAATATTCATTATACACATTCTTATTGGCTCCTGATTCTACACAAGGTCGGTGACTTTAATTATTCGAATCGTTTTTGCGGTATGGAATGGCAGGAGATCTAAGCAAGCTCTGCTGGGCTTTATTAGGAAACTACTAGTAAGTCACTCCACACTAAGCCGAGAACCAACAAACTAAAAAAGACTCGGAAAAATGGCGGCAGATGGACGTAAAACTTTTAAATCTATCTGGTTGAGGAATAAAAAATGTCAAAGTAATGGTAACGTTTACGAATAAATTTTTTCTTTCCGTACATTCCGTAGAAGATTTTTTATATACATTTTATCCTTTTCAGGTCCTTTAGTAAGATTATCTAAAATTCTACTCCAGGACCTCTAAATATTTTAACGAGTCGGAACTTTCCATAATTTGTTATTTTACCTCTGCAATATTTATGTTAGAGTGATTTCAGTACATACTTAACCCGTGAAACAGATACTAACAATTAATGCCAAATAGCTGAAGGTAATTAAAGCCAGATGACCCTGAAGATTACAAGAGAAGTGCGATAAGAATAAGTCCTTCTCTCTTTTTCCCAGAAATCCGGACGAGAAAGGCCTAGGATCCTCTATGTATTTAGGGAACACCATTATCCCAATGATCTTTTTCGGATGATAAAAATGCTTACCCAAATGACTGAAATGCGGTATGACAAGGCCATACTATGGAATTGTAAATTCTCAGCACGATAACCAGTGCCTTGCTCTCACAGCAAATAGAGTACAAGTAATTAACTGAAGGTACTCAAGCATTGAAAGCGTTTATGTAGAAAATAAGAGAAGCCCGAGGACAGATCCCTGAGGCACTCCACCCCTCATCTTTCATTTGTTAAGCAGTTTGACCGTAAAACTAGAAATGGTGCAAATCACAACTTCATTCGCCAGGGAAAACTTGGCAACATTAGATTTCAAAATAAAATCCCCAAAGTGTCTGTTAAATATTGATAAAGTTAGTTCGGCCTGAGCTTATTCAAATGATCAAGGTTGGAATAAATGTTACGCATGCGCAAAGTCTTTAACAGCAGCGACTACCAGTACCGCCCCTATCCTAGGATAATAGATCACCAGGTTTCCTCATAACTCACCACACCGCACCCGCAAACGCCACGCAAACGCCTTTGGTACAAAATACATACATAACAAGGTAAGAAAAAAGTACCGCTATCGTTTCTACCCGCCGAGGATGAGATGTACCCTGGTTCAGTAATTCCCCGCATAAGCTCCACACACATCTTTTTGTTAGAGAGATGAGGCGGGGAACGATGTATGATGAGCCGGCGAACGATCAGAGTATATCATCAGGGAAGAAAAACACCGGCTTGATTTACTTAGAAATACGCTATTACCGCGCGAGTTCCAAAACCTCTCACTTACAAAACGAGGCTAATGGGAAAACCTCTGCTGTGAAAATAAGTTTTATTTGAATGAGAATAATAATAAAAAAAAATTCATAACAATGGCTTCGCACTTAGCCTCGCTTTGAAACAGAGGCTTGAGGCAACTCAGAAATGGCCTATTGACAATAACAGCGAAAGGTGCTGAAAAAAAGCTAGAAAAACAAGAGGGTGATATGAAGCACATGCAGCATGATGGTAGTATGATGGGAACGCTGGATACATTTATCTCTAAAAATGCCTAAATAACGTCACTCAACGGCCCGTTTACTGGGCCTAGATAGGTTCAGTCATCAGTAGCGCAAAACCGTTCATGGAGGACGATTTTAACATGAAGGAGAATAATCAATAATCGGCAATTTCTTTTTTGCTTCTCGATATTTATTTCAATGAAACTGACAAAACATTAGCCTTTCAGTAACTATCTATAAGTATTATTTATAAGAATAATTATGATAATATAATAACATGAAAAACGTAAAGGATCAGAGACTGTATGTGTGCACCTTTAAAAAGCTTTCCTTACCAACATAAAGAAGGGAAGCGAAATAGTAACAAACGAGGATTAGCATCATAATCAAAAGCTTCGACGCTAAGCGTAGTTCGAGTCCACTATCGACAAAACAAGTTATCAGTGACGAACGAGCGCTATTAGTTCACAATTTTTAGAAAGTCTGTAGTCTCTGTATGAAATCCTGCTTATTTAGTGGAATGCATTTGTTGAGCTTGTTGGTTTATTGCAAATTAAATCGTTAATTTATAGCAGTTGAGTTGCACCGGGAGTTATCGCTAGTGTTCTGTTGTCCACGTTGAAGGTATTTTATATATTAGCAAGACGTTTCTCTAGTAACAAGTGTGTCGAGCACCATACACAGCTCACTAAACTTGGGTCGTTCGCTGGGATTACCCTGCCAACATTTGGTCATCAATTCATAGCTGTTGAAAAAATAAATATGAGACACTATAGAGTACTAAAGTGATGACGTCATAAAAATGAAATTTCTGAAATTATGGGATTTGTCAGGATATTCTGAAAGAACAATGTCCCAGAGGCCTGCTTACCAAAAATGAGCATTTCGGGGCAAATTGTCTCTGAAATGTTAGCCGGTTATACACCGAAAACTCCATACAAACCCTTCTGTTTTTTTGGGTCGACCCCCAAAAAATTTAGAAGGTTTTGTATGGAGTTTTCTAAGCATAACTGGGCTACCATCTCAGAGAAAATTTGCCCCGAAATGCTGATTTTTGGCAAGTAGGCCTCTTGGACATGGTTCTTTCAGAATATCCTGACAAATCCCATAATTTCAGAAGTTTCATTTTTATGACGTCACACTTTAGTACTCTATACACTCAACCTTTTATACTAACAAGATAACTATTAAATGATTTGCGGTAGTAACTATATCTCTACTTGAAGTTAGCTGGGGCGGGTAATGATTCACTCGGTTACTGTTATTAGCGTAGCTTGAGTCTCCAAAAGACAAAACTTCTATTTGAAATTTGGAAATCACTGGTATCGCGGAAGCCTTTATAATTACGCAGCTCCTCCGAAAGGAAGATTAAATACTTTAAAGCTGAGAGTCCAAAAAGCAGTCAACTCTGAGTTGTTCTGACGTCTTCCGATTCTTAACCCTCAAGACCAAATACCTATAAACAAATTCTCCTGATGAGCTGCAGCACATTTCCTTAAAGAATTAGTTAAAAGAAATTGCTAAAAAAAATCAGTGAAAGCATTTTTCCTTTGGGGATCATTTTATTCTTTCTCAAAACCTTGTCTCTTGATGATGCACTGATGTTGTTAGGAGAAAATTGATGTTGGTCACTCTTATGACTTTAACACTGAAGTGCCCTTGATCAGAGTCAAGTGTGAGGTCACTTACATAGCATCGGAGCACCCATTGGGTTTCTTCATTCTGTAGCCGGACTTGAGGCTTTGTAAGAGATCTACTGTCTCAATCTCAGGATAAGGGACTGCTCCTAAAAGACAACAGTCAAGCAGTATCAAAATGCATGCACAGTTTTCCTAAAACTGATACGACTGATTTATATCGGATGAAAAATACGTTATCGGATGAAACACTTGTAATGCTTGGCTTACCGCCTGTCTCTATCTCCCACAGCAAAACGCCAAATGACCAGCTGAAACAAAACAAAAGATTGCGTATCTTGAAACAGACTTCAAGCAAAAGAAAATCAATATAAGTTTGTCACGTAGCTCACACACACTTCACCTTATCTTGCCGTCAGTTATCATTTTATTTAAAAAGTCCATTATTCACTGTTTCAGAGAGTGGTCAACGTGAGTGTCGAAATTAATTTTACATTTGCTCAGATTTTTTATTTCTGCGTTTTGTGATTGGCTGAACAATCTCGAATCATTTTCTTAACCAATCAGAAGCAACACCAAAACCTGTCCAAAACCGATCGTAGCTTTTGCTAACTCGCGTTTTCCCGCGCTTCAGTGACGCAGGCTACATGTAAAAGTTTCCCGCGCTCCTTTGAAACTAGTTACAGCTTCTAGGCGTGATTGGCTCGCTGAATTTTCTGCTGCCCGCCGGCATTGTGATTGGCCAGTTATCACATTGGCTTCCCCTTTGCGGAATTTGAATAAACAACTGAAAACTCTTAGCAATACGTGGCTTATTTCGACAAATTCTTCGCCCCATGTAAGGGAATCCAGGACAGTCTTGGATTCTGGATTCCATGCTGTGGATTCCGGATTCCGAGTACTGGATTCCGGATTCCAGCACAGTGGATTCCGGATTCCAGAAAGAGCTGGATTCCATTTTTTTTACGGTTTTAATGCTTTTCTTCGCACTTTGTTTCGTGTTCGAATCTTGCTATATTGAAAGACGTTGTTAGAAGGCATAAGAAGTTTGTTTTCTTTTCCGATTTACAAAATTGCGGGAAGAAATGTATTATAGCTGGTTATTGATTATGGTAGAGAGTGAGACTGACCTCAGGACTCTATTTTTCACTTAGTCTACTTTTGTGAACTCTATTTTCAGCCATGCTGATAGAAAAATGCATGCAACGCCCAGATTTCGCCTGTTATGCTTTTGTTTTGAAGTCTTTTTTGTATAAAAAGACCATACAGA